GAAAATGCTCCCATGTTGGCAACAATTTCTGTTATTTTCACCAAGTAAGGATGAGGCTCTATGCTTTTAATTTTTTCTGACGCGAAATCTTGCCACTTAAAAAATTTGTATACTGCATTGTTTTTATTGTAACTTTCTTTGAATTTGCATTTCCAACAGCTGTCACAAAATCGTTAAATTCGTAAGTCTTGTTTTTTTTTTCCACCTGATGGTCATGAAGGTGTGTTCTGGTTCGAAATACTTAATACCAATATCTCCAAAAACTCCAATTTTTGTTTTAACCTGGGCAGTTATCTGTCCAAAGGACAAAATGTGCAATATCCCCGTAATGTAAAAAGAAGGCATTATATGAGCTGATTATTTTTTTCTTTTCTCCGCCATGCAATACCGTCATATCATGGACATGCAAAAGTTTTTTGTTTTTTTCCTTTACCCAGGGGTACAAGGCTTTCAGTGACTGTCGATATTCGTTGGGTAAATTTTTCTTTCTTAAACATATCGATCCTTGGTAACATTATGACTTTTGGTAAGTCAATAGAGACTATGTATCTGATTCATTTGTATCCAAACTGTATAATTCTCTTGAATCGCTGGCACGTTGAATGTGGTTCTCATAATTATGCTCTTTATTGTGTAGTTGGGATGCTTCACAAAGTTCGCACTCTTCATGGCCCAGGTTTGTGAAAGATATCTTTTTATTTTTAAGATGCTTTCGATAAACCTCATACGAGCATTGATTATGAGGGTAGGTTGCTTAATAATCCTTATGCATGACCTGTATATGTTATTGACCTGTATATGAGCGCGTTAGGGAATTCAAGTATCTTGGAACAACAATAACTGAAGACAATAACGGATCACAAGAAATAAACAACAGGATTCAGGCCGGCAACAGATGTATTTTTGCCCTCCAAAACCTTATAAAATCAAAACAACTAACACGACGTAAGAAGATACATGTCTATAAAACAATCATACGACCCGTTGTGATGTATGGAAGCGAAACGTGGACGATGACAAAGGCAAATGAAGAGAGACTACGTGTTTGGGAAAGAAAAATCCTAAGGAAGATCTTTGGTCCGGTGCTTGATGAAACATCAGGACAATATAGGATAAGAACTAATAAAGAGCTTGAAGAACTTTACCCAGACGCCAACATCATAAAAGAAATAAAGTCCAGAAGACTCCAATGGGCAGGACACCTCAGAAGACATTCTGACGAACGAACAGTAAGACTGGTGTGGCAGGAAGTCCCAACTGGAAGGAGACCACGCGGACGCCCTCGTCTCCGGTGGCGAGATAATATAGCAGGAGACCTAAGCACTATGGGCGTGGAGAATTGGATGGAGGTTGCTCAAGACGGAAAACAGTGGAGGCATGTTGTCGAGTCGGCTAAAACCCACGAAGGGTTGTAACGCCACGGAGTAAGTAAGTAAGTATGACCTGTATAGTTAAATCACTAGGCATGTATCTACGATATGGAGCGTGTAGATGACTGAAACACATTTTGTCTGACAAATGCTTTCGCTAATCACGCCAATTGCATGGCAAAAATAACGCGATTGGGTAGGTATTGCTTAGAATAGCACAGTAACTGCAGGCTCCGTCACGTATATGCAGAGTTTTACCTAAGAAATGTTGAAATTGCGGGGTTCTTCTTTAGCTACACGCATGTTTTCGTAGATGCTAGGTTTAGTATTTTTTTCACAATATATATTTCTGATTGTAAATACTGTACTTTTCTTAAATAATCATGTAATATAAACTCTCTAGATCTAATTTTCGCGCCCAACTAAATTTTCATCAGTTTTTGCATATGCGGTGTTTTTCCTAAGGACGGCAGTATACAGAATCATATATTTACTTTAAAACAGATAACACAAAATGCACTGTAAGAGAAAAAATAATACTTAACATTTCTTGACTTAGAAAAAACCTTGACATAAACTACCAAGACAGAGACTATAAAAAATACTAAAAGACAAATGAATGGACAACGAGTTACTAAGAATACAGTGAGAACAACAATGCCCTAATTAGTAATAATTCAACATCAAATAAGTTTAAAATAAATGCTGGTTTAAGACAGGAAGGAGCACTTAGCCCAACACTATTCCTAATATTAATGTACGAAATTATTAAAAAATTCACAAGAAGGAGTAAAAAGCTGAATGTAGGGTATAGAACTCTCGAGAGTATTGTTGTGCTAATTGCAAACACTGAAAAAGAATAATTTGGAAATATGGAAAAAAAAAACAAGCAGTAAGTAAAGGTCATAGCTACAGAATGGGGAACAAAGAAATCCAAATAGTATGTTATGCAGACGACGCCGCATTAATCGCCGAGACAGAAGACGAGCTCCAAAGATTAACACATATCTTCAATACAACAGCTAAGAAATACAATATGATATTATCAGCCAAAAAAACCACATGTATGACAACATGTAAATACCCACTACGGTGTAAAATCGAAATTGATGGGAAAATAATAAAGCAGGAAGCAAGGTTTAGATATCTGGAAATAGATATAAGTAGTTACGGTGATGTTGAAGAAGTACGACAACAAAGCTTAAAAGCAAGTAAAGCGGCGGGTTCTCTTAATGACACACTCTGGAAGAACAAACACCTAAGACAAGACACAAAAACAAGAATATATAAAGCAGCAATTAGACCTATATTAACATACACGGTGGAGACAAGACCTGACACATCTAAAACGAGACGACTGCTAGAAACAACAGAGATGAAAATACTCCGACGAATATCAGGGAGAAGTTTGTTGGATAGGGAAAGAAGCGAAAACATAAGAAGAGCATGCAATACAGAAGACATAAATGAATGGGTGACAAAACGAAAACAGAAGTGGAACGAACACATCAGGAGAATGGCAGAGGATAGAATAGTACGAATAGCACGAGATAAGTCACCAAATGGACGAAGAAGTATTGGCAGACCAAGAAAAAGATAGTGCGACGATTTAAACAATTTAGGAGGCTAATATTGAAAAAGAAACAGGCTTTAAAGCCTACATAGTGAAAGGAAGAAGAATAAGAAGAAAGAAAAACGAGGAACGACTGGGTTAGATCAAAAACAGAAGGTTTTTCATATCATAACAAAAATTGTCAAACTCAAATGTATCTTCGCAGGCCACAATTCTAGACAAAAAAAACAACGTTGGAACGCCACAATACAACATTGGAGACCTTACAAAGGTACGCGACCAAGAAGAAGACCACAAATGATACTAGTGGAAGAAATAAAAAGAATAGCCAGAATAAATGGGAAGTATCTATCCTCAGGATAGAGATCGATGGAAGGAGTTGGGAGAGGTCTATGTCCAAAAATGGACGAGAGAAGTATAAGAAAATGATTTAGAGAAAAACCATTATTAGCACCACGTAAACAATTAACCAGAAAAGAAACAGAGTGAATAAGAACAATCAAGAATAGTAGAAATAAATATGAAAGAGGCGTCAAGTTTTGGGAACCACCTAATAGCAAATGAAAGGGCAATTTAATTAATTAAATAAGCGAATGTAGCTAATGTATTTTTTTACAAGTTAATATGATTAATGATTTTTATGTTGTATATTTTATTTGGTTTGTTATCATTTTTTGGATAAAATAAACCGATTTGTATCTTAAAGTTGATATATATAAATACGATAAAATATAAACGAGAAATGCATGGATGACAATATAAATATACCAAATAAAATGAAAAGACAATGCATAGTAAAGATGAACAATACTAAAAAGAAAAATATTTAATAATACATCATGATATTCTTCTTCTTTAAGTTTTATCTTCTATCGAAGGTTGGAAATCATCATGGCTATGCGGACTCTGTTGACTGCCGCTCTAAAAAGTTCTGCACTACTGCATTCAAACCATTCCCTTAAGTTCTTAAGCCAGGATATTCTTCGTCTTCCCACATTTCGCTTTCCTCGGATTTTGCCCTGCATAATAAGTTGTAATAATGCGTATTTTTGCCCTCTCATCACATGTCCCAAGTACTTTAAGTAAGTTTTCGTCTTTTAATAGTTAATATTATTTCCGCCTCATTTCCTATCCTTCTAGTTACTTCCATGTT